TTATGAAACCACAACAAAGACAAGCCTTTGACATTATAGGCTAGATGATTGGTTTAAATTTGAATTTTGGTATATTTTTATATGTGAGAATAGACCATGTGGAATTCTTTAGAAGAACCTACTGGTAACTATATTCTGAGTAAATAATAAAAAAAAGAATGGAGCTACTCTGGATGACTGTTTAAGCAGCCTATCTCCTGATAAGTGTGGCAGGAGAAATCATAGTTTAGGGAAAGAGTGTGCAGAAGGCAAAAAAGAATTTCTCATTAGGCAAACTGATGCAGTGCCCTCAGGCAGCAGATTTTGAGGTATCATTAACACTCCACCAACTGTCAGTTATTTAGTTTACTATTATTGTATTTCTTCCTCCCATGAAACTGGAGAGAAGTTCTTGTATGATTTTCTGTCGCAGGTTGAAAAACAGTTTCACCAACCTAAAGCATTATGCATCCTGTTGTTGATGCTGTTTGCCTTCAAATCATTTCCAATTTATAGCAACCCTAAGGTGAATCTATCATGGGGTTTTCTTGGCAAAATTTGTTCTGAGGAAGTTTGTCTTTGTTTTCCCATGAGGCTGAGAAAGTGTAACTTGTCCAAGGTCAAACCAGTGGGTTTCTGTGGTTGAGTGGGGTTTGAACCCTGGTCTCCAGAGTCATAGTCCAAAGCCCAAACCACTACACCACACTTTATGGAAGCACAATTTGCTGCTACACAACAGACTAAAAAATATGACTGTTCTATTCAGCATCTGCCTGTAGTTCTAAGCCTCACCAAGACTTTGTTTGGTACCAAACATGGACACACATTACTGCTATTAGAAAACCTTTAGTGGTGGCAAATAATACAAACCAGAAAGATCTTCTTCCCTTCTACATCTCATCAAGTACCTTTGGCACAATATAACTTTTATGTTCTGGTGCCACTGAAGGAAAATTGTTTTCAAATTCTGATTTAGGCTCTTAAACATGCAAGTGGGTCATATAAATTTAGCTAAGCTATTACTTGATAGATTCTGTAAAGGGGATCTGCTCCCAAAGCAGTGATTGTCCACCTTTCAAAGAATAAGTCCCTATCAAATTGCCATAACCTGAGCTCTGAAATTACCACTCTCTGTTGAAAACATTGGTTAACTTATTGATGGATTGTAAAGGAAGCTTGCTGCTGCAGTGCAAGATTAGTCTGTTCTTTTCTTTTTCAAATAATGAAAAGAATGAAGCCTGTTAAAAGAGAAAGATGGCAGCACAATATTTCCCCCTGCTTTCTAATGACAAAAGGTTCTGCAAAACATAAAATAAAATCAACCATCATCATCTTGATTTCTCAAGGGGAAGCTGATAACAAATTGCATTTCAAAAAAAAAAATATTCTGCAAACATGCAGAATCTTCACCATAAAATGATAATAAAATCCATATTATTAGGAACAGATCTGGCATTTTTACTATTTTTTCTTGATTGTAGCTCTTCTCACTTGATTCTTATTTGTTGTTGTTGTTGTTGTTACATTTTATATCTGCAGCTAAATCACATTTTGCTCAGTGTCTCCACTGCCTTTCCCTGCTTATCCTGCAGCTATATTAGTTCCTTGTTTCAGGGAAATGATTTCTCTCCCTAATCAGATTAAGCCAAATGGGGTTCCCTAACCAGCAAACAGAACCCTGGCAGCTCTGTGTGGCTGAACTAATTTGCACGAGCAGAACTGATCATTCCTTCCTCTGGTGTCTTAATTATAAGTTTTAATCCCTTTGATTTTGGAACCAAAGAAATGAGGATTGTGGCAGTGGGATTTGAGTATATTTATTTAATATAGGGAGATATGGTTTAGGAACTTCATTTAATGCACAATGTCAGCACCAATGGCACATGTTCATGCTAATTTCTTTTTTTCTTCCTTTTTAAAAATTCATGGCTTTTCTCTAGCATGCTGCTGTTCAGCTCCAGGCTTAGCTTTAGATTTCTAATGGAAATACATTGCTAGATGTATTTATTTTTTAGTGGTTTTTTAAATGGGGGTATGCATACTTCCACTTTTGTTTCTTTCAAAATCAAGGTAATCTCTGCACATCTGTCTCAGCTGCTCAGCTGTCCAGGCTAGCTCAGGCCTTCAGTAAGATTGCAAATTATGCTGACACTAAAGAAACCTGTTTCCTACTGAGTGGAGCAGCCCTATCCTTTGGGAGAACAAAGCAACCACCCCAGGCTGCAATAGTGGGGTTGAATGTCAGAGAACAGAACTCTTTCTGCCATATGAATTGCCTTGCATCACGTACCTGTCAAGGGTAGCATCTGTGGGTGGATGTGCACACCATTTTGCACTTTGTCTAAAGCAGCAGAACATCATGGGTCACCCTACCTACTGGAAGAAAGGTATCTCTTTGCCACAAAGAACTCAACCAATTCAAAAACAATCAGATGACCACCACCCTGCCCACATGCTCTCAGTTGCAATACCAGCTTCTTCAGATCATTGTTATCAAGGACAATATAAATTACCTAACCAGATCAGGAAGGTATAACAGCCCCATCAATATATAGACAAGAGGTCACTGACAAGGTCCCATGTTCAATAGCAATACTATGTGGAGAACAAAATGGTGATTGATTAAGGTCCAGAGCTAAGGTAAGGTTGGGAATAAGACCAAAATAATTTGGGAAATCAAATCACAATCCTGGATTGATCTTTTTTAAAAAGTAGGAAAAGAAGTGAGAGCTACATAAGACCTTGCCTTTTCTATGAGATCAGTAAAACCCCTAGCCAGCAAAGAATCCAGTTTCTCTGAAATGGCTTTTTGCAGCCCATGCAAACACCCTATTTTCCAGATCTGTTCCAAATCTGTTGAATTTGAGATTGTTGATACATAGGAAAGCTACTGGCTGCTAGCTCCTCCTCCAGCCAAGAATCTGAGTCTTTCTCTGAGCAAAAGCCTTGCCTCCCAGAGACCAGGTGCTCAGGAAGTGACCTGGGGCTACACTCAATTGAACAACAGAGTGCTAACAAGCACAATCACACCTCCATTCAGTTCACACAAACACTCAGTCTTGACCCAACAAACAAAGATCACCAAACTACAATAGAACAAGAGACACTACTGGTCACACAGTCAAGCTTCCAATAGGCTCCAAACACACCAACCAGCCTTCCCCCAACTGACCCTCACTGCTGACCCAACAAACTCTTTCAAAAGATAGTTTTATTTGGGTTTTCTGGGCTATGTCACCATCTTTTGGAAAAATTTATTTCTAACATTTTGTCTGCATCTGTGGCTGGCATCTTCAGAGGGTGGTGGCATGGAAGTGAGTGGGGTATATATATACTGTGTGGCCCTTGGAGGAAGTGATTTACATGTTAATCTGTGTATTGGTCTGTTGGTAAATGGCAAGGCCTCAGGATTAGAGGATATGTGTGTTTATTTAATTAGCAATCCATTGTTTGCGGGGGAAACCCCCTGAACCTGGGTGGTGTTTATTTGCATGTGTTGAGTCTTGATTTTGGTGTTTTTCAGGACTGGCAGCCAAACTTTCAATGTGTCTTCTTTCCTGTTGAAGTTCTGACTTGGTAGGTATTGGCATGGTCCAGAATTTCAGTGTTTTCAAATAGTATTCTATGGGGGGTTGCAGACTGCCAGAAAAAGTGCAAATTCAGTCCACTTTTAGGGTTAGGGTTAGGGTTAGGGAATCATGGGAACTGTAGTTTATTGTGGCACTAGAGCTCTCTGACAGAGAAGGCTCAATGTCTCAGAAAAAAAACAATCCCCATGATTCCCTAGCTCTAACCCTAACCCTAAAAGTGGACTGAATTTGCACTATTTCTGACAGTCTGCAACCCCCCTAAGTCCAGGTTGGTTTATAATGTGTTCTGCTATCACTTCTTCCCAATCAAGGATCACACATAGTATATATACCCCACTCACTTCCATGCCACCACTCTCTGAAGATGCCAGCCACAGATGCAGGTGAAATGTCAGGAATAAATTCTTCCAGAACATGGCCACATAGCCCAAAAAAGCCACAGAAAAATGATGGCTGCCAGCCGTGAAAGCCTTCGACTTTACTGTCCCCAAAAATTCTCTGGGACTGGGGAAGTTTAACCCCACATACCCCCAAGCTCACCTTCTGCTGTCATTTCCTCCACACCCATGCAAAACACCCTGTTTTCCAGTCCTGTTGTCCAAGCTCCAGAGCCTGAGACTGCTGCTATATAGGAAAGCTACTGGCTGCTAGCTCCTCTCCCAGCCAAGTCTCTGACTCACTCCTAGCAACAGCAGCCACCAGACCTTCCAGAAGCAATGCTGGATCAAGATGTGGCCCCATCTTTCAGAGAAAGTACAACTCCATCTAAAATGAATTGTATCTCAGTCCCAGGCTGGCTTTCTTCCAGACAATAGAACATCTACCTTGTCTGAACTGAGCCTGAACTGAGTGGGTTTATTCACCCACAATCAGTTTAAGCTAGTAAATGCTTCCTTCAAAATGATGATGATGACAACAATAATTATGACTAGCATTGTTTATACCTCACCATTCTCCCAAAATTGGGGTGCAAGGCAGCTTACAATTTAACACAATTACAATATATTTAAAAATGTTAAAGATCATCTTTAACATAAAATTAAACAATTTACCACATTGTTGTGTGCCTTTCTTGGCAAGATTTGCCTTCTGAGGCTGCCTTCTGAGGCTGAGAAAATGTGACCTCCCCAAGGTCACCTATTGGGTTTCCATGGCTAAGCAGGGATTTGAACCCTGGTCTCCAGAGTTGTCCAGTGCCCAAACCACTACATCATGCAGGCTCTTATGCACAACTTTAAAACAATTTAAAGTATACAGCCCCCCAAAAGGAGGGGACCAGTTCAGTAAGAACAGTACAGCACCATTTAAACCTCTTTCCTTAAAAAGATTTAAATTCTAAAAGCCTGTTGGAATAAAAAGTCTTTATCTGCCAATAGTAGGACAACATGTCTGGCTGCCATGAATTGCACTTGATATAGCTTTTGAACGAGAGCCAGCATGGCATAGTGGTTTGAGTGTTGGATTGCAACTCTGGAGATTGGGGTTCAATTCCCAGCACAGCCATGAAACCCACTGGGTGATACTGGGCAAATCACACTCAGCCTCAGGGGAAGGCAGTGGGAAACCATGTCTGAAGACATCTTGCCAAGAAAACCCTGTGATAGTTTTGCTTTAATAATAATAACAATAACAATAATAATTTTTATTTATATGCCGCCCTGTGGCGAGCCATAAGTCAGAAACGACTTGAAGGGACACAACAACAACAATAGCTTTTGAATATGTTAAGAACAGCTGCTGGGAAGGCAGTTCCAGAGCTGGGAGTAGCCATGGAGAAGCCCTATCCCATGTCCCCACCAGGTCTCCTGGAAAGGTGGTGGTGAAACTGTGAGAATGGCTACTCTGGAGGATCTCTGTGCCTGGTTCATGTGACAGAAATGGTCTGTTAGACAGTCTAGGCCTAAGCTATATAGACTTTGCACATCACAGCCAGCACTTCAAGTTGTGCTCAGGAACAGCCAATGGAGCTGTTGTAACAGGGGAGCTGTATGGTCCCTCTGTCAAACAAATGTATCCTATAGACAATGAAATATGTAATTCACATCTACACTTTATAATTGAGGAGGCAAACAGTGAACATTAGATGTCAATCTGGCACTTATTCTCTCCACCCCTGTTAAGACCTAATGGCTCTTCCTCTGCTTAATGTTGCACTTTCTGAAGAAAAGTGGATAGCAGGATTGAACACTCCCATTAAGTGTACAGTTATTAGAACTGCATCAGGTTAGAGCTTTTGCTAGCCTAGAGTGGGGTTTGCTGATCAGTTAATAGGACTAAAGCTTTTATAGTGATTCTCAGCACTCTTTAGTTCAATTTCAATTCCCTACACTATATCAGTGTTGCTGAAGATAAAAGTCTTATTCCTCCAACCATCCTCCCTCCAACAAACCATTTGGGGGTACTGAGTGTTAGCTTTTTTAAAACAACAACAACAACAACCTGCATTTCTAGGAAACAATCTTTCATAATCAAGATGGAAATTTAGCTGACAGTCATGGAAACACCATATTCCAGATGACTGTTACCTATCCATTGGACTAGCAAAACCCTGGGATACATTTTGTCCTAATTCTCTGTCTACAGATAGCAAAGATGCTTTGATGTTAACCTTATGGTGACAGCCATCCATACACAGTGTAAATGTAGTTGTTTATTCAAGAAAACCATTGGAAAGCTTTGCATAAAAATTTCCTTCACTCATATCTAATACATTCATTTTTCACATGCCATATTCAGCCAAACCATTATGCTGAAATCCTCGTGAGAAGTGTTCCTATTCATTGAACTCATTAACTGATTCAAATTATGCCAGCTCAGTCAAACTGCAAAGAGGGGACACACCATTATTTCACCTGAACAAATGTAATCTTAGAAGATTTGTAAAGGTTTGTCTTCTGGACTCTTTTCCAAATAATGCAGCCAGAAAGTGAGGCATGTTATTCCTTAAGGATGAATGATAACATTTTAAATAGGTAGAAATATAAATAAACTATGTGATTTAGTCAGAAGTGGTGGTTTATTGTCTAATTACACAGTATGCCTCTTCTAGTACTTAATTTTCAAACTTACCAATAGGCAAATTAGTGTGTTCATCCCAAGTGCAGCAGGTCCTGCCAGCAGGGTCAATTACTTTGCATTAATTCAAAGGAAATTCACATAGCATCCTGTTCTTTGAGATAGAGTTCAAAAATGATCAGAGCCCAGAACCTTTTGTTCTACTGCAGTGATGGGAAAAATGAGGCCCTCCCTATGTTGTTGGACTGCAGCTCCCAGCATTCCTCCTCATTGATTTTGTTGGCTATGACTGTTGGGACTTACAGTCCAGTAGCATGTACAGTACACATAGCATAATATGGGTTTCTTTTAAAAAATAAGTAATATTCTGGTCCAATTCTGTGTTAACCATAAGTGGCCACTTCAATATACAGACTGCACTATTCAGTGGGTCAGGATGAAAAATGCTAGTTTGTAAAAAATAGTTATATCTACTGTAATTGTTCTGATCAGTTCTCTGTAGAATGTGTCATACTGCTGTCTGACCTCTAATGAGCTGTATGTGTTGACCTACTCCATCATTAATTCATTTGAAGAGATAGGCATGAGTTGAAAATAGTCATAGAGATATGTGTTTTGGCCATGACCTCATGGTTGTACAGAATCTTCCACCTTCCAGAATGTTCTTGAGAAACCTGTTAGGCTTTTCTTATTGTTAACTGCCTTCAAATCAGCCTCAACTCATGGTGACCCTGTGAATGAGACATCTCCATTTCTCCCTTGCCCCAACCACTCTGTTTAGGTCCAGCAGGCTCAGGTCCATGGGCTTCCTGATTGAATCTACCCACGTGGCATGTGGTCTTCCTCTTTTTCTGCTTCCTTCTACCTTGCCTAGCATCATAGTCATTTCTTCTCATGATGTGGCCAAAGTACAACAGCCTCAATTTCATCATCCTTGCTTCCGGGGAGAGTTCAGGTTTGGTCTGTTCTAGGATCCATTTGTTTGTCTTTTTGGTCATTCATATAGAATTCATATAGAGTTGTAAAATTGCACACCCTACATATGTGCAACATTTTCCTCCCTAGCCTTTTGTCCTGAACAACCTGGAAGAGGTAAAGAATCATGTGACCACAAGAACAATATTAAAAGCATCCTTTCTGTACCTGTGTTGACCCCTTCACATAAATAATGAACATGTAAAGAATGAATATGGCTTAAATCTCTTAATGCTGTGGGCACAGATGCTTCCTTAATTTAGCTCCTTATGTTCTATTTTTATGAATGGAACAAATGTGGCAGTTCCATGAACATGGTGTCCTCAGCATGTGAGTAGTGTGGAGGGTTGTAAATTTGGGACTACCCTTTACATGTAATTCATTTTGTCACATTCAGCAATGAAGTCTGAAAGAGTTGTCTGCTCAGATTTGATTGCACATGAATAGAACTCTCCATACAATCAGGGACTGTAATAAAGCATATGTAAAGATATATAATTCACTACCAAAGTCAAGATCATTTGTGTTATTGTATTTCCAATTTCTATGTATGGTTGTGAAAGCTGAACAATGAAAAAAGTTGACAGGAAGAGAATCAACATGTTTGAAATGTAGTGCTGAAGGACAGTTCACCAAATATTGTGGACTGCTAAAAAGACAAATGAAGGAGTTCAATAGCAAATCAAACCTGAATTCTCCCTAGAGGACAAAATGACTAAACTGAGGCTATTGTATTTTAGCTATATCATGAGCGGACAGGATTCATTAGAAAAGACAATAATGCTTGTTAAAATGGAAGGCAGCAGGAAAAGAGGAAGACCACATTACAAATGGATAAACTTAAGCAAGGAAGCCACAGCCCTAAGTCTGCAAGGCCTGTGCAGGCTGTTGGTGGCAGAATATTTTAGAGGTACCTCATTCATAAGGTTGTCATAAGTTAAACCAACTTGATGGCAATTATCAACAATAAAGTAAATACTGTGGTGACCTTGTATTTGCATTCAAGTTCTACTCTTCACTCCTGTGCTGCTGATGCACGTTCAGACTAAACATCCAGACAAGGTTATTTTATATGAGCAAGGGCCAATGTCTTAAAGCTTCCTAGGACTGTCCAAAAGGTAGTCTCAAAGGTGCTACAAGATCTCTCTACATACTAAACATCTCCTGTGGCAGGCTATAAACTGAATAGTTCTCTGTTTCCCCTCATTCTGTTGTGTGCCTTCAAGTGATTTTGACTCATGACAAGTCTAAGACAAATCTTCACAAGATATGTTCAGAGAGGGCTTGCCATCCTATCAGGCTGAGAGAGTGTGACTTGCCCAAAGACTTGCCCAGTGAGCTTCCATGGCTGAGTGGGGATTTGAATCCTGGTCTTACAGAGTCCTAATGCAATGCTCAAATCACTACACCCTGAAGGCTCTTCCACATTCAGTAGGGGACTGCAATTCTTTGAAACAAAAATCCTATTATATTAACTAATATGGATGTTTTAATTGCCACAGTCTTGACCTTCAAAGAGGGGATAATATAGTTTGGGGCTGCATAGGAATCTCCACAAAATGGTGAGCATTAAATTAAATCAATGATATAGATGTGTTAGTCTATAGAATCAATATGTAAGGAGATCTTGTAGCACCTTTGAGACTGAGGGTTGAAGCAGATGTCCCGAAAGGGGTGGCAGATTGGGGCCACAGCAACCACACGCCACAGCCCCAATCCTCCTTTTTGCTGCCCCCAAAAGCGTGGCAAAATGCTGCCCATTTTGGGGGTGGCAAAAGGCCACCCTTAGAGCCTCTGTGGCGGCTCTTTTGTGACCTTTTGGCACAGTGTGTGTGCACGCTGTGTCAAGAGCGCATTCTGATACTATGCGCCATGGAGACAGGCACACAGCATCAGGACAGTGTTGGAGTGGAATCAGCTCTATCCCCAGGCTGGCCCTTTGTGCCGGTCTGCATTGGTCCAAACTGAAATAAAGAAGTTGGCAGCATGAGCTTTTGTAGACTTCAAATTACTTCTTCAGATGCATGTAGGATATACGTAAATTTAATCAGTCAGCTAAATTAGTCTCTCCTAGTTAAATAGTCCAGTTTTACATATGAAAAGCCACACTACTACTAGGAGGATGGTGGCTGTGCATCAATCCATTATGGCAGCAAGGACACTGCACATAAACTCTCCTCATCCTTTATCTACTCAAAGGATTCCATACAAGTAAATGGTACTGAACAGCTCTGTTGGATTTGGATGTGCTTCTAGGTCCACCAAGGGAGCCAACAGCACTCAAGGAATGCAAGATATGAAGTTGGTCCCCTTTCTAGATCTTTATGCATTGCTCAGAATTTGGGGCAATGGAGCTCTGTGTGTGGATATGCAATGGCCAATACAGTAGCAATATTTCCTTTTAATTCAGGGAAGAAACATTTGGTTCGCTGAATGTTTTGGTCTTCAATACTAAAGGACTGTGGGAATAGTATTCCAAAGCATCTGGAAAGTTCCTTATCTAGTTTTAATTT